AGAATTCTTTTACTTTAGAACCCCACTGGCAGGGGGATTAACATATGTGATAATGAGACTATACAACCCTAATCAGTCAGATTAAGATTTAGCTGCAGTATCACCTTTATTTATCAGTGAGAACATTATCATGGTCATGTCAGTCAGTAGTACACTCTTGGTATCCTTTTTTTCATTAATTTTTTGTTGCTTTTCTACAGGACCATGCTTGTAGGAGTGAGAATATGGATCTTGCCCAGAGACTGGATAACAAGGCTGCTGAGGCTTGGGTTGGACATCCCTATTTTGATGTCATTGACAACTCAACAGATTTTGACACTAAGGTTTGTTTTTGATTTTCCTCCCCCCTCACCCCCCTGTACCTCTTCAGTCTACTTATCCAGCTCCTACTACTACTACTACTACTACTCCTCCTCCTCCTCCTCCTCCTCCTCCTACTACTACTACTACTACTACTACTAATCCTACTACTACAACGAAATACTCCTACTACTCCAACTCCTACTCCTCCTACTCCTCTGTCTTTTCTTTAAAGTTCTTGGTTTATACTAATTTCTTCTTTCCTTTGTTATTTTTCCCTTATATTTCTTTATTTCTCATCTCTTACTTGCACTTATTGTTATGTTCAAATAATCACAAAGCTATTTTGAATGTGACATATGTTACTGGTCAAGAAAAGGATTGTACATAAAAGGAAAATAATCTTATTGTCTTTAAAGATGACTGACTCATGTTATGCAAGAGTGTTTCTTGATCGTGTGTGTATATTTCTTACATTGTTCTCAGGAAGAAGTAATTTTACAACAGATGATCCATATTGGTATTCCATAACTTACCACTGTTGCCTTGATTAATTCCCACACTATATGATCTTTTATTAATGCATTTTTCACAATGCACCTATCCTAATACAAGTATATATGAGCCCCAGTTTTCCACAGATGCGTCGAATGATAAGTGTGGTTTGTCAGAAGCTTGGTGTAGACACAGGTGACAGATTGAAGACCAATGCCCGCAAACTTAAATTCCTCGTCAAGGGACCATTGCCTGATGATGGTCTTTTCCCAACCTTCCAGGTCAGTTTCTGGATTTTTTTTTTGTGTTATCAACTGTATGTTTTGGTGAGAGAGAGGTTTTTTTTTGTATGGAGGTTGAACTTGTTAAATTGAATACTGAATTATAATAGGTGATGTTTCTATTATTAAAGATATTTTGTGATTGAAATGAGGATGACAGGTTTTGTAAAAGTATAATTAGTGAGTGAGAAATTGATGAGAATTATAGCTACTGTTGCTATTTCAGGAATATATCAATTTAGATAATATGATATAAACATTCCTGTACTCCTTTGCATATCTGCTCTCAATATAAAATTTCTTTTGATTATGAAACTCAAAAAATAACCCTCAGGAGGAATTGTAAGACCAGCTATAACAGACATTGAAATATGATTTCAGGACTTCAGTGTCGAGCATATATATCTTCGCACAAACTCTCGGAAGATGCAGGCTCGGCTCAGAAAACGAGGCAAAAATGGTAGGGCTCAGTTATTTTACTTGTATACAAAAAAAAAATTATTTAAAACTCCTTATGGCATTTCCTTTATATATATAAGTTGTGATATATACACATACAAAAAATGATGTACATTAATGATCAAAGCAATGATAGAGTATTTTGAAAATTTCTCTACAGGAGTCCCTTATATAAAGTGCTGTGGATATATATATTGTTGCCTTTATTTTCTGATCTTCAGTTATAAAAACAAGGACTTGTGTATACATAATGACAGTACTATGAAAATAACTTTTCCTCTCTTTTAAAGTAACTTTAATCTTAATTTTCCAGGCCATCACAGTTACACACATACTATTCGCAAGCCAGAACAGTTGGGGCAGATTGTAGAGGTTAAGACAGCTATTAGCCAACGAGACTGGAACAACATGTCAGCTCAAGCAGATGAACACCACTACCCCATTTACAAGATCCGTCGGTGCTTCCTTCACAACAACCAGTATTTCCAGCTTGACATTTACCAGAAGCCTTGCCACCAAAGGTAACAAGGATCTGGTGGCATAATTTTAGGAATATTTCTCTTTTACTTTTAAGAATTGTTGATATTCAAAGACTGTTTTTTAGAACTGTTATGGCATTCAGCTCTTTTACAAACATATTTTTTGTTGTATGATTATTATACTGCATTTTGCTTTAGTACATTTACTAGTTATCTATGTCATTTTTTATACTGTTCATAAGAGGATGATTATTTACTGATCACATAATATTATACAGCAAGCCTTGACAAATATCCCTTGCAGGTGTGAAGGCCTTATCCTGTTGGAGACCTACTCCACCCTCCCCTCAGAGGAACTGCAGCGCCGTCTGCCGTCATTCCTCAACATTGAAGCCGAAGTAACTGGCAGACCAGACTACTCGATGTTCAACCTAAGTCTCCGTGATGAATGGGGTGTTACCAACAAGTTCTGTGTCAACATCGCAGGTTAGACTTGTACCCTCATCATGAGTTGTGCGGCAGCCCTGGTGTTGTGCCATAGATCCCTGAGTTAGTGTTTGGAACCTACATGCTTAAGTTTGGCTGAGAGCACTATCAAGAATGATTCAGGGAGGTTGATAACTTTTTTTTTTATCTTTTTTATTATTTTTGAAAATCTTTTCCCCACCAGAGTGAGGATAGAGGGTTTGGGGTAGTATTTGGTACTAACCATTAACATTTCCATAACATTTGTAGTGTAAGTCAGATGAAGATTTGTCATTTGTATGTAACTTTCATTGCAGACTTTGTTTGTTGTTGTTTCTTTTCAAAGGCAGTGTGAAGTCCATACCTCTGCTTCAGACAAATAGAGGGGCTTCAGTTGTGTAAATAAAACCAGCCAATATTTATATAACTTATGTACTGACTATATAGGTTTATTTGATAGTGTAGGAAGAATTACACATTGTAAAGTTATGACTGCACTGTAAATTGCCATATGTATGCTATTATCCCACTTTCCTGTAAACATTGCAGAGATGAAAAAATCAAAATAATACAGTAAAACCTCTTAATAAGGACTTTCTTGATGATATTTTTGAATGAGTGGGAAGTAATGTATTTTCAGAATGTTATTTAAGGCTTTTCTAGTACTAGAAGGCATTTATTTATTCACAGGAAATTATGATGACTTTGTTTGATATGATTTATTGTATTTTTACGAGATATGCTTTGCTCTAAAATATCCATATGAAGCTTGCTATTATTGGAACTATAAAGTATGTGAATATGTGATTTTTTATTATTTCTGAATATCGAAGATGTGTAGTGAATACATTATTGTAACGCTCTTTTAAAATCCCTTTGCTTCTTCAGTAAATTTCTTCTAGTCCATTGCAGATAAAACTTAATATCAAAGTAAATTCTGAAGTAGATAATGTTGCCAAAGTCATCATTTAAGAAGCTTTACTGTATTTTTTCAATTCATGGGCAGTATAAAGAAATATTTATACGGATAGACTTTTTACAATATTGTTTTAGAAATGATAAAAGTCAGAGTGAGATGTAATGGGACCATGAAAGGTGAATTCATTTTTGGCACTAATTCTCATAGTTATACCCATCTCATAAGCTAATTTTAAACAGTGTTTTGGGGTCATCATTATTTCAATTTTTTTTCTGTGTTTTTTTATTCATACGTGTCTCATTTCTTAAGTTAAAGATTGGAAGGCTTTGGATATATTTTTTCAAACCCATAATTTGTAAGTTGTTGCTGTAAGAAATAAAGCAGTTACATCGTATAGCTAATGATTTGTGTTACCCAAAGCACTTAGTGTGGTGTGGCATATCCTTCCCTTCCATCTCCTCTTTTCTTCTCTGCTTAATCTTTTCAGTGCTTAAGTCCTTAGTGTTGGTGGTCATACCTCAGGTGAAAAGGGAGAGTTATATGTATATGTATATGTATATGTATATGTATATGTATATATATATGTATATGTATATGTATATATATATGTATATATATATGTATATGTATATGTATATATATATGTATATATATATATATATATATATATATATATATATATATATATATATATATATATATATACGTACATACATACACACAGTATATTCATATCCTCCCCACTTAATCCTTTGAAAACTGTAATATTCATGGAATGGAGATAGATAACAAAAAAAGATTAGTAGTGATTTCTCCATTTTTCTCCAGTAGAGGTGTGTAATGCTATACTTTAGAAAAAAATAGCCAATACCACTTTTTTCTAGTTGTGGATGAGTCGTGCACATTTTCATACTTGTACACCAACGTTTTGATATACATATTTATTTTATATTACACTTTACAGTTGAGCAGTGCATTAGTAGATGAGAGCCAGTGTGTGTTTAAATGGTTATTGATTATGAAACTATGTGTATGTGAGAATATAAGGAATATGAATAAGTAATTGTTCTAAGTTAGTGATGGGTGTTTTTTTTTTTTTTTTATTGATTAGTTTATTTTCTTCATTCAAATTAGTTTTTGCTATCTATTTACCACATTAATTAAAGGCAAATATAATAGTGTAACTGTGCTTGATTCTTTTACTTCTTTCTGCTAGAATTAGTGTATTTTATTCAAGGGATAGATGTTTGTCCACATATTGTATGTCTGGATGCAGTATGCTGTATGTGATTTTATGCTTTTGTTTGTTCATGTATTTCTTTCTCTTTTCATGAATACAAGTATATCTGGTGATGTATAAGTGTGACAGTGCCTTGCCTCTGTATAGATTTTATTTTTGTGTGTGTGTGTGTGTCTCTGTGTGTATGTATATCTGTGTATCTGTGTGTGTGTATGTATGATTGTACAAGCATGTATGTGGCCGTATGCATGATTCAAAGTATGCTATAATCCATATTGCTTTCAATCCAATAGCCTTGAGCACATTTAATTACTAAGGTACATGCTTTAGCCAACACATGGGTGCGTGCACATATGAGAACA